GTAGCAGCAGCATCAGCAAAAAACCATAGCAGTGGTAGCAGCGGTACCACCGGTAGCAGTGGGGGTGGTAGTAGTAGTAGTAGTAGTAGTAGTAGTAGCAGTCGTCGTAGTAGTCGTAGTAGTCGTAGGAGTAGTCGTAGTAGTAGTAGTAGTAGTAGTAGTAGTAGTAGTGGTGATGGTGGTAGTAGTAGTAGTAGCAGTAGGAGTAGCAGTAGCAGTAGTAGTAAGAAGAGCAGCAGCAGGAGGAGGAAGACTTGCTAGTACTTGCAGTATGTAGCCTTTGATTGAAGCTTGTCTCGATGACTCCTATGGCTTTCATCACTCTCTTGCTGGCGACTGCTGAAGGTTACGACCAAGCTGGCTACGGTCCCCTGCCTGAGACGTCTGAAGGTCAAAGACGCCGTCCCACTTCATTATTTTCTGGCATGCAAAGCAGAGTCGGAGTACGTGGCAACGGAAACGGGTACGAAGCGAGCACATCGACATAGATGCGAAGCAGGCGGATGCACCCGGCAGGCGACTCTCTCCAAGACGAAGGACTTGTCGCAGGAGACGTCAATCTCGCAGTGGCTCGCTTGCAGAGGGTGAAAGGGCTTGCGAGTGTTCGGCATTCTCAGCCGTGCCTCGATCTTGAAGAGCGATGTTTTCATGCTCACCAGGCCGATACCTGATCCCGCGAGCAAAAACATGCTAAAACGGCAGCTCTCAGCAAACAGCTGAGAAGAGACAGAGAGAGAGTGAGAGTGAGAGTGAGAGAGAGAGAGAGAGAGAGAGACAGAGAGGGAGACAGACAGAGAGAAAGAGAGAGCGAGAGTGAGATAGCGGCGAGAGTCGAGCAAGGTCATGATTCTTCAGGCACTTATGATACTTTCAATTCATCTGAACTTGGGGGCAGGCCCAAGCCGGTGAATTCCTTGACACCTTGAGCCAACACATTGCCCGGTGTCTTATTGCCAGCCCCTGGACTTCTCGGTGCATGTTACCACAAGCCCATAATTCCCAGGCGACTGGCCCCACGACGGTCCGACCATGGTGAGGCCCTAGGCTCTTCGATATGTGTGCAACAATGCAAGCTGCATCTTCCCTGACAGCTTGCAGATTTAGGGTATCCCCCGGCCAAGCACGAAGCAAGCAGGATACCAAGGCCAATCAAAGCCGCGGACCTGGTCTACACATGTCTGGACTGTCCCATGATGCCACAGCGAGAGCGCATTGACGTGGGCCACAAGCGGTATTGGCCAAGAGGCATGAACATCAAGAAATTCTCCTTATCCGACTTGGCCTGCTTCCTTAGCAAGATCCCAAGGCCCAGCCAGGATTAAGCAAGTAATAACTGCAACAGAATCTTAAAGCAGCATGCTTAAATGCACTAAGTGCAACGTATCAAGGCCGAGCATCGTCTGAGCGTCGCGGACCCTCTCAAGGCGCTGACCTCAGGCTAAACCCTGGCGTCGCAGAAAACAGATGAGCATGCAAGCATTGCACGGAGCTTTCTTTGCAGAAGCCATCTTGGAAAGCCGAGTCCGCAGCGCTTCTCTTGCTCCTTCTGCCACTTCTTTTGTTGCTTGGCATACTGTGGATCTTGTGCCACGCCCTGCGGGCGGAGTATTTTCGCTCACCTCGTAAAAAGTCAATCAACATCTCACCCCAGAACTAGCTAGAATCCCGCCCGAACCCACAAAGAGACCTACACTGCCTGATCGCAGAGGAGCTTTCTGGTACTCTCGCATACGATTTGGGTGGAGAAACAGGGCTCCTATTGAGAACGGCAACTTGCATCTTTGCGTGGCGGGGTTTTTCTCAACATGAAAGCCCGCTAGGTTGGTCGAGCTCCGTATTGCTAACGAATGCCTCTCTGGCTTTCTGAAGCACGGCTGGGAATGAAATACGGGAAAATCAGGCCTGGCCACCATATCCTTGCCTCATTGCAAGAGTGGATGCCGCACTCTATGTGACGGAAGGCGACCGATCCGTTCCGAGCCCGCACCAGCAGAAGGAAGGAGCCATGCGATTTCAGTTTTGCTCTAAGGCGCGGGCGCTGAATATGACATGGCGGCCTGCGGGTCACCATATCCTTGCCTCCATGCAGAATGGATGAAATATGATGAACTGTGAGGGAAGGCGACTTATGTGCTCCGTGCCACACCCGTAACGTACGACCAGAAGGAGTTCTGCGATTTCAGTGCAGCTCTAAGGTGCGGGCGCTGCATACGACATTGCGGCCTGCTGGTCACCGTATCCTTGCCTCCATGCAGAATGGATGAAATAATGCGATGAATGCAGCATGTGAGGGAAGGCGACTTATATGCTCCGTGCCGCACCCGTACGACCAGTAGCTTTGAGGTGCGGGCGCCGCATATGACATGGCGGCCTGCTGGTCACCGTATCCTTGCCTCAAGTCACGGAGTGGATATCACACATCCGATGCGGGAGGGCGACTGATCCGTCCCGTGCCATCACGAGACAGCTAATCAGTTTCACCGAATTTCCAAGGTGCAGGCGCTGCATATGGCATCGCGGCAGGCTGGTATCCTTGCTGCCTAGGCAGCTGCTATACGGGACGTGCCTTGTCAAACCGCGTGGTCTTCTCCCAAGCAGAGGATACCAGGCTCCAAGGACCGTGCAAAAGTGGCTGTTGGAAACCTTGCCTTAACTGGAGACTGCAATGTCAGATGCTCTACCTCTCACTCGTGTCTATGTGCCTGGGGATTATGCTGTGCCATTGGGTCTGCATAGGGGGCAGCCATGTTGAAGAGAATTGCTGAAAGCAAAGCGGCAAGACCTGCTCAGAACACGCGTTGTGCTCAGCAAATTCTGGTTCTCTGCCGCTGTATCCCTCATCGTGCTCTCGGCAGCTACTGGTAGGTGAGCACAGGCGGGCAGGCAGACTTGCCTGAAGTAGAACGTGTGAGCCGCAGGCTCACAATACAGATGGACTGGCTGAGAACCAGCATGCAGCGGCAAGCAAATGTTGAGCTTTGCACGCAGCACGATCGCACTTCAATCCACTATAACGTGCACATCGACGTGCGGAAGAAGTAACGAACGCACACTTCCGAATTAGCAAGTTTCGTTGCTGATTTCAAGATCGTCCCTTGTCGCTTGTTTGTGCGATCCACCTATTGGGCTGAGATGACGCGCATGCGTTCGATTTGTGGCTTAGAAAGCCTCAAACTGCACCCCAACAGCCCAGAAAATACGAAGTTCAGCGGAGCATTGAACTAGTGCGATGTAGGTCTTAGACCAGGTGCCGACACACTTCCACTCCATCCCAGGAGATGCTTCTTGAGCATCTCGTAGTTTCATCACTGTTGCACTTTACGACTTACACCGGGACAGATATCGGCAACCCCAAGGCGAAACTGACGAAACATCCATTGCACGATGGCTGGGGCGATGTCTTTTTGCGGAAAGCGCACACTCGTCAACCTCCGCTTTGAGGCTCTTCGGATGCGCCAGAATCGACTGGTGCGGCTATCTCAGCGTGTGTTGACTCTGCTGGGTGAACCATCGGCACTTCCGCAGGGTGGGCAGCATGTGCCTCTGCCGGATGTGCTGCTTGAGCTGCAAGAGGATTCTGGGATTCCGCTGGGTGCGCTGCTTGTGGGGTTTCGGCCGGATGGGCTGCTGGCTGTGGCTGTGCAGGTGGCTGTGACATACCTTCCGCTGGGTGTGCTGCTGTGACGACCTCATGTGATGACACAAGCACATGCACCGAATCTAACTTCTGCTCCTCTGCAGTCCTGCGATGCACTTGCTGCACCACCAGTCGCCATCTGCACAGCTCATCATAGCCCACACCCACCGAAATGCCCAAAGCCGTACTCAAAACCCTCGTAAGGCCGCGCCACATGAGCAGGCTAGCAGGAGTCAGAGATATCCCCAAGACGTGATGCATCCACTCCAGCGACACTTCTGGGAGTCAAACTCCGAACGAGCCACTGACGGAACAAACACGACCTTTCTGTTTGGAGATACGAGCCGCAGCAGCTTAAACTCTTTCGCTACTTCATACAAACAGGAACATCTCGGTAAAAAATCATCTTCCCTTGTGCCCACACATCAGTACTCGAAAAACGAAGCCCAACTGAGACCTGGACGGCAGCTGCTTGGGCTGGATGAGCAATGGGTAAGTGCATATGCTGTTGTTGCATGGGAGGACCCGTGAGGAGAGGTGGGGTTGGATTTGGAAGATGCGGCACGGGAGCTGCAGGGCCTGGGGCCTCCGCGGGATGAGCTATGGCAGGGGGTAAGGTTTCCGCAGGGTGCGCTGGTGTTGGCCCAGGCGGGGCGGAACTGCTTCCGGCGGACGTTGACGCTTGTGCAGCTTCCTCGCTTTGGATGTCTCGGGCTTGGCTTGCCCATTGTTGTGCAGCCGACGGCCGTGCCCAGGGCCTCGCAGCTGCCGGGGCTGCCGCCGGTGCAGGTGCAGGCGTTGACGCTGAAGCGGCGGCTCCAGGTGCCGGAGCAGCCTCTCCCAAGGGCACTGCTTGGGGCTCTGGCCTGGAAGCCCAGGTCTGGTCCAAGTTCCTTTGGGCGTCTTGGACGAGTTCCAAGGTGCGTTGGGCATCCTCCGTGTTCTGTTCCGCCTGGTCACCAAACACGAAGTTGGGATGCTGGAAATTAAATCCTGCCAGTTGGAGCAGCTTTGCGGCAGCACTGTTGTTCCGGAAAATCTCGCTGAATCGAGAGCTGGAAGTGTTCACTTTCCGGTTCTTCTCAGAGCTGGGATCTTTCAGCAAATTCAACAGGACCATCGCAAGAGTGCTTAGCGACTTGGCAGCCTCCGCCTTGCTGTTGCTTTCCTTATAGGGATCTTTGCATGCACGCACAATCGTAACGTTGGGGAACCTCGAGTCAGCCAAGGTGCTGCCACCAGCTTCTGCAAACAGCCATTTGTGGCATCAAAGAAGTCGCGAACAGAGCGTGGCTGGCCAGCAGGTGCCGGTGATGCCGGGCCTGTGGCAACTGCAAAGACAAGTAATCAGGAAGCTTGAGTTAGTTCTGGACCTGACGGGCTCGAACATTTGGTCGCCAATGCAGGTGCACTTGCGACAGCGTGCAGTGACCTGTGAGTGCAAAGCAGCACAGTCATTCGCAGTCGAAGGCTCGAAGATGTGAGAACACGAAGTTGCTCTGAGGCTGATGCTTGCTGCTCGTCCCGTCGGACCTTGAATTCTGAACATGACTTGAATTTCACGTGTAAAAAAGCTCTTCGCCAGCATGCGGTTCCTCTGCCGGCTTCGTGCTAATGAGCTTGAGGAAGATTGCATGGCAAAGTTCGGATGATGCGCAGCTTTTGTCAAGCACGCCTGTCTCTCAGGCTGCCGGTAGCTGATCTCCGCGATCACATGCCGCCTAACACAGTCTTCGCACGAATCAAGCTTTCCTTGGTGTCAAACAAATCTGCGATCAATAAGGCTGCTTCTGTGCTTGCTGAGCGGCATAAATTGCAGTTTCAGATGTGTCAGCAGCAACATCAAGAAACCAAATCAACCAAGCCGCCTTCTCTTCAGTACGCGCTTGTGCACGCAAGTCGAAATTCTTCAAGAGCCAGTCGCACTCCTGGTCACCACAACTTTGCGAATGGGGCAGTACTTGCAGAAGAATTTCCCAACAGTACAACTGCAATCATACAGTGTCTGCATTTCAGCTGGCAACTTCGCTGTCGAGAAATGCTGCACGTCGTCTTTTCTCAACTTTCTGACAGCTGAGGGTTCGACGAGTTAGAGACATCCCGACATCCCAGCGATACTTCAGAGGCTCCTGGTGCAAGTCAGCTGTGTACTGCTGTGTGGCGGCCAACTGCTTCTTCTTCCCAGCCACGTCTTTCCTCATGCTTGCAAGAAAACACAAACCCTACATCTTTTCTGCGTGCGTGCGTGCGCGCGTGTGCGTGCACGATTTGGGCGTGTCTGAGAAGCTTGGAGCATAATATCCGAACAATTGCCATAATTGGGCAAGCAGCTTCCGAGTCTGACTTTCTGCACCATCCACCGCGACTTGCTACTCTGTCGTGCTACAAGTAGTTGACATCTTGTGCCCTTAATGCCCACTGAGCAAAGTGGCATACTTCAGCGAGGTTAGATAAGTGCCCTCACATAGGTCCTGCTGAAATCATTGTGGAGGTGTGGCGTTGTATGGAAAGGCCATGATGGCATTACAGATGGGGCAGGCAGGCTTCTTAGAAAAGGATTCCCAAGTGTAAGCAAATGAAAATGAATAAGCGCTTTCAACTTGTGCTGCACTGCTCCTCGCTGCTTCACACGAAAATGCAGATGACTCTTATTAAAGGGGAGCCCAGCCCAGCTACATCCTCGAGCAGCGAGGGCACTCGAAGACTCATGCATAATCTAAACCTCCTGCCCGCAGACTTTCACCTACGCATGCAGAATACACGATACAAGCAGGGCTGTTGTGGTGCCCGGCGGCTTGTCGTCACTGACGTCACTCTCAACCTCCGACTTTTCTGAGGCCTTCCGTGTGGCCAATGCTAGGTCTGCCTCTCGCTTCTTGGCGGCGTCCTGTGCCAGGACATGTAGGAGATTGGTCCCACCTCGTGGCGGCTTCATGGAAAGACACAGCACGGTGTAGAACTACAGCAGGCTCATGTCCTCCACCGTCTTTTGATAATCATCCTGGGCATCGGCCTCTTCAGTCTTAGCAACTGCCATTTCTTTCTCGACATCCTGGGTGTTTCAGCAAGCACGTTGCGCTACCGACACAGTCGGCATGGACACATCCTTTCATCGTCGAGAGTCGGATGCCAATGTATCAATCATTTTCAGAACACCGTTGCTGCTCTCATTGTTTTTCTGGTAGCCACCCTCGAAAGTGGGAGGCGGTTGAGCGATTTTGGACGACATCTGAAGCAGTGAGAGGTCGTACGGACTCTTCGTGGTGGTTTCTGCCACCATTGTTGGGTTGTAGACCTTGTTGAGACGGTCGCGCGCCAGACTCAGCAAATCGATCGTTGCCGAATTCGAGGACATGCTCTCCTCAAGGGGTCCAACAAAAATCGAGAGCAGAAGACATGAGCGTCGATTGATTTAGCAGCTTGCCCTACATGAAGGACGTGCTTTCCACTGCTACGGCCTGGAACTCTTCATGCTCGGCTTTCCGATTTTCACTGGCTTTGGCGACGGACTCGTCCAAGGCCGTGACGCCGCTTTGCAAAGCCTTGATGTCTTCGCTGAGCTTTGCAATCGCCTGTTTCTTTTCTGCCAGGCCGGCTTGCAGCGACTTGATCTTGGAGTCTAGGGACTTGGACTTGTCCTCTGTGGTGCGAAACTCCTCGCCGCAGTAGCTCTTTTTGCTCTTGTCGTCTTCCTGCTCTTTATCCAGCAGGGATACCATGCCATCAATCTTTTTGAGAATCTTCGTGAAGTCTGCCTGCAGCGATGTGCAGGACATTACGTAGGTAAATGGGCTCAGACTCAGCTCCGGTGACCGGCCTTGCGGCCCGAGAGAGCCAATGCCAGGAAGTTCAGCTCCGGGTTATCCGACTTCGCCGACGCTCCGCGGAGCAGGCGCAAAGCCTCGCGACGAACCTGCGACAGGGCGACGGCTGTGCGACAAACGGTGAGCTGCGGACGGACCTTCTCTCGGCCGCTGGAAAGCTGAATCAAGGAAGTGCTGCGCTTTCGAAAGAGATCCAGCGACTCGTCCGAGTTCAATATTTTGATGGTCTCCTGCGGGCTCCAGCTGCAGTTTGCATCAAGAAGGAACCCCACACGCAACCCGAATGCTGACTGCTAGCATTGTCCTGCAGAGCAAGCTGCTCTTCCTGTCCTGGGAGATTGACAAGTCTGATCTGACAAGACGGTTTGCACTCATGTTGTATGCTTCAGCCCGGCATTCGCCGAGCCGATGTGGGGTGCCGTTCGGCGCGACCATGTTCATCGAAACACAACTACGTAGCTACGTGGTTCAAGCAGTGCACTTTACCTTCTCGCGATGGACCGAGCAGTGATGTGGATTCTGTGCTCGCCAAGAATCGGGCAGCCTGGCGCTTCTCCCAGTCCTCTGCCTTCTTTGCGCAACTCTTTTGCACTTCCGCCAGCATCCTGAGTCAGATGCCTTCCGAAGGGTTTTGCCCTAAGTACATTTGTTCTATGTTTTTCACAGGAAGTCCAAGCTTTATCAAGGCTCTGCTTATCATCCTCAAGAGAGCCGCCCTGCTCTGCCAGCTGGCGTTCGAGGTTCACCACCTCGACCTTCAACTCACCAATCCTCTTCATCTTGCGCTCGAACTGGTTGAGGAGAGTGGAGATCTCAACCTTCTTGGACTTCTTCACTCCCGTAAACGTCTCCACGGCCTCCTCCTCGGTTTGGTTCTCAGTCTGAATCTCCTCAACGGTCTCATCTTTAATGCCTGTCAGCATGCCGATCACCTTAGCAGACGCGGTTGTCTACAACTTGTTGGCGCAGCCTGGTGCCCTAATGACAGTCTCGAAGCCAAAGACGTTCCGAGCTACCATGCCAGGGTCGGCTGCGCTCCGATCGCCTTGCAGGATTTGGTACTCGCAGTAGCAATAGTCGAAGTAGCGGTGGTGGTGGTGGCAGTAGTAGTAGCAGTAGTAGTAGTGTGCTGGCAAGATAGAACCGCAAGGTCGGCAAAATGAAGGGTCTTTTTGCTCATTTTGCTTTGGCCCCGCGTGCAAAACGTTTTGGTCTGGCTTTTCAAAGGGGGGCAGTGGCGCACCTTTCGGTGCTTGGCGCGTCGTTTTGGTCATCTTGCTGGCTGCGGGTCCATACCACTTGCGCCACAACCAAGATTACCAAAATGACCCTCCCCTCTCCGCTCTTTCAGTACCACTTGCACCACTTCAAGCCACTTGACCTGCGCGCATACGAGTATGAATACTAGTACTCACACGAAAACTAAGACCAACTCCTAACCCTAAACCCGTGCCAGGTGCGTGTAACACTAATACAACTAATACTTATATTGATACGTATGCTAGTACAATACTAATTAGCACCAATGCTAAAACTAATACTACTACCCGTACTACTACTACTACTACTACTACTCCTGATGCTGATACTGATATACGTCGCCGGGTGCGCGTAACACTAAGGCCAATACTATAATACTCACATACTAAGACGAATACACCAACACTGGTACTGTATCTACAAACCTACTGACCCTAAACCCTAAACCGATGCACGCGCCTGGTGCGTGTAACACCAATACTGGTGCCAGTAGTACTAATGCTAATACTATAGGATACCTACTCACTCTAAACCCCCAAACCGACGCGTGGGCCGGGCACGCGTAGCACTAATAATCATATTAGTACAACTACGAACCCTAAACCCATAAACCAATCGCGCGCGCGCGCGCGTAGCACTATTACTTTTAAAACTAAAAATAATCCTAATCCTAAGACGAATACTAACATCAATGCTGATACTGATACTGATACTACTAGTACCAATACGAACACTAACACTATTCCTAACTACTAACCCTAACCCCGAACACACCAGTACTAATAGTGACACTGACACTTACACTAATACTGAGACGAATACTAACTATTAAATTGTCAAGTGGCGCAATGGTATCCGAGGGGGCGGGTGGGGAGTCATTTTAATAATTTTGGTAATCTTGGCTCGCAAGTGGTGCAAGTGGTATGGCCGCCCAGCAAGATGACCAAAATGACGCGCCAGGTATCCGAGGGGCGAGTGGTGCAAGTGTTGCAAGAGGGACCAATGTGACCAAAGTGACCGGTCAGTTTGCCCCCACAACCAAGGTGACGAAATTGACTGGTCGCTTTGCCCCCCCTCCCCCCAAAGAAAAAATGACCAAGAACAAACGTGGCTCTAGAATGCCGCACAATGTAACGGTAGCAGCGATAGGTGCGTAAGGCTTATGGGCCCTTTTTGTGAAGTTTAGGCTCGGCTCGCTTTCGTGAAACTCCGCCTTGGAGGAAAGCGGCTACTCGGCGCTTGTCGGCGCTGTCCAGGCGGAGGTCGCCTTCGAGCAAGCGCAGAAGCCGAGGAACCTGAAAGGGCCAGCCAGGGGCCGTGTGGAACGTTTGATGTTTGAGGTGCCTCCTATGTTGCACTTCTCATCATTCTCTTTTCTTTCTTTCTGAGCGTAAGGGTCGCCATCATTCGTTTTCTTTCGCCAGGGCTGCTATCATTCTCTTTCTCTCTCTCGCCTTCTCCCCGTGCCTGCCCTTTAGAGTCAGTGATCTGCATGAAGGAGGTGGGAGTCTCTGTCGTGCCACCGATGGCTGCAGAAGCTTGGTCGATGGTCGAAACCACCTGCGTTTCCTCAGTCACCTGCCGCAACATCTTCAATCTTGGATTGTATTGTGAGCTCGCGGATCGCGTTATACAGTTATACATTAATTACCCCTCACTGGCATTTTGTGCAACTCCTGCAACCCTACGTTGTGTCTCGCGTTCCGCTACTGCGTCGCCTCAATCGTGATTAAGCAGTGTCAACACTAACGAAAGAGTACACCTCTTAACCCTGCCCGCCTCAGCCACGAAGTTGTCATGCTCCTTGTTGCGCTGGGCCTGCGCGGCCTTCAAGCTTTCCTCCTCAGCCAGGCGGTCCTCTTTCAGCTTCGTGACCTCCTGGGGGCGAGACAGAACACAAGGTGACTCGGATGCTTCCACGGACGATAAGACAGATCCTGCTGGAGCGATTCAACTTCTGCTTTCTTTTCGTCGATGTCGGCTTGAGAAAGCGGATTGCTTTCTGCCTGCTGGATGCTCCTTGGTCAATTTAAATAGTTACCACTATTAGCAGTTCACCTGCTCTTCAGACTTGGACAACGCAATTTGCTAGTTGCTTGATTGGCGTTGCACATCTTCTGTCAAGCGTCTTCTGAAGCTCTGCTATGGTTCCCTTGCAGTAGCACTCGAACTTCTCATAAAGATCTGCTTCCTTTTTGCCATCTTTTTCGATTTTGTCACCCATTTTCTGCATCATCCGGATCACCTTTGAGGCCAGAATGTGTGCATCCCGGAGTGAGCACATTTCTCATTTGCTATCCAAGTCTTTGAACACATGCCAAGCAACCTTTCGGATTGGGTTTCCACCGCTGCTGCTGTCCGATCTGGTGGTGATTGCAATGGCAGAGGCGGCCAAGGCCTGTGTCCCAAGCTAGTGTCAGTGCTGCAGAGCCGAGCAAAAGCACAGGAACAAAAGAACTGGAACATCAAAACCACACTGAGTAGCCGCCATCAGTAGCCATCTGCACTTCGTTAACATGGCGCTAGGCCGCAAGGGCAGCACCTTCCCAAGCCCTTGGGCCCCAGGCGGCTTTTGAAGTGCCATACCGTTAGCCGTGACGAAGAACACATGGTGGTTCCGACGCGCGTGAGCAAGCTGAACGTGAAACAGGACTTGAGAGCCATTTACCGCACTGGGGTCACGGCCCTGCACCTTGGATCATCGCTGCCAGAGCCTGGATGGTGGAGGCCTTTGCGAATGCATCTAACTACTCTTCGGCCAGCGCATTGGCAACGCTGCGATTCGCTTCGCAAGCATCTAGCACTGGCATTCCCCGATGGCTTTTCAGCCTTTCCAAGCATGAAGCCCTGCTCTTTAGCGAGAGCAGGTTAAACAGTTAGTGGCAGAGCAGCGTCGCATTGTAGACGTGCTCCTGCCGGCCGGAGCGCTGGAACAAGACTGAGAGCACAACGCACAACTCCAACTTTTGTGGAGAGCAGATGGAAGCCGCTTTGTGCTTCGAGACTCTTGTTCTGCGAAAGTCAGCTCGCTGCACCAATTGGTCGCACGTAATCAGAGGCAAATCTTTTGTAACCCACACCGTCTGCACAAGGTAAATCCGCTACTAAAGACCAGACTGTGTGTGTTTGCGCTGGGGACCCGTTGCGGAGGTGAGCGCAGGTTCACATTTAAAGTCTAGTCGCCGCCCTGCCTCTGCGTCCGCAGGACCTCACAAATCTTAGCCTTGCGCTCAATTGCCCTGTCCCAGTCTGGCGCACAATCCTTGGGCTTCATATGTCGGATGCAGGCCGAGGTTGCATGAGTCGAAGCCATAGGACTGCCAAGGCTCCAGAGCTAAGTTCACAACTTTGAGTGCGTGCCGGTAAGTCTGCGCCGTTGGGCCCAGTTCCAGGTATGCAGCCGCCAAGTTGCAGTAAAGCCTGATGGGGAGGCATCAACCACTGCCTTGCTGTTTGCAAAGTCTTTAAGCTGCTACAGATTTGGCTTGTGGCTTGCAACCTTGGCTCGCTCCTTGGTTTCATTTGTCTTCTTGAAGCTTGGCCAAGGGCACTCGATAAATCTGAAGGGCTGGACCAGGTCATGAGTTTCGTCTGGACTCGCCCAGTGGCCGAGCTGAATTTTCTGAGCTTCAGCACTTGCTGTTGCAGCAACATGTCCACAGAGATTCCAGCAGTAACTCATGCTTTCCACGGTCTGGGCAAAAGATGCTGAGGCTCTGAGAACCCCATCGAGCCCAGTAGGAATTGAGATTCTCAGCATACACAATTTGTACAAATATTATAAATGTAAACAATCGTACAATGTTTCTGTCACTTTATAACAACATCTGATGTGTCAAAAGCACCAAGTGCCTGGAGGACAGGAGCTTCAGTTGCCTCTCTCTTTCGGTAGCCGTCTCAGATGCCATGTCATGCTCCTGCTCGTAGAGGGCAGACCTCACCAGCGTTAGACAGTCCAGGCCCTGAACGTAGCAGGCCACGGCTTTCCACAGCACCTGAACCCGTGGATTGGAGCAGACCACTTGCTCTGGGTGCTTGCGCTTCGCCGGGTTGCTGTAGTAGCTGTTTCCAGCCTGCTTGAAGTCTTCTGCTCGCTGCAGAAGCCATGTGATTGGTTTGCGAGCAGTTCGCTTGGTCTTCTTGAAGACCAGAATGAACATCCGTTTGTCCACATCGCCTGAGTAGTCGACAGGCTCCTGTTTGTCGACCAACTCCAGATCCAGATGCTGCTCTTCGATGAATTTGCCCATCTTGTCAACATTTGCAAAGTCGCCCCACTTCTCCTTTGATTTAACACGTACGGTGAGGCGCGAAACTGTGAGTCAGACAAGAAAAGTACACCTGCAAAAACTACTGGGAGCAAATTCCGACGAAGATTCGGAGTCATAGAGCAACAGGATACCGCCCTCCTCGAGCAGTGGAGCAGCCCCTTGCAACACATCCGTCCAAATATAAGGCTCCTTGTATCCGACCTCAGCTCTCACATAGCATGTCCCCTTCTGTGTGCCCGCCCCTCCTGCATGCCCCTGCCCGATTTATTAGAGACCCGGCCTGCGTTAACAAGGAGGTGCAAACCAACGCCGAACATCTGCCCAGCAGGTGTTGCACTCCTTCCCAAGCATCCTCACAAAAGGCACCGCAAAACATACAGAAAGCAGTATATAACAGCGAACGCGAGGGTTGCTCTTATTGCCTCTGTGGGCCCTTTTCAACTGGCCTCGGTGACATCCACGCAGCCAACACGGCCGCGGAGCAGCACGGATGCCTGGCGGCTAGGCTCCGTGCCGAGGGACAACAGGAAGCCGTCGAAGTCCTGCAACTTCTTTTCCCAACGACTCCGCTAAGCCCACTCCTTAATGCAAGCTTCGGAGTGCTTCAGAAACTCATTACGCCCCCATCTTACAGGAACTTGAAAGGGGTCCCCCTGCTGATCAGCTGTCCTCCATGTCTTCGTCGGAGTTGGCAGAGTCGTCATCCATCAAAGACTTCTTCTGGCTTCTGGATTTCGCAGGACTTTCCGGAGCTGTGGTCATGTACTCGACACAGTCTTCAAGCATCATGGTCCCCACATAATCTGCTGGATCCAGCATTTGTTCCGTGGCATACCACTTCACCTCCGGCATGCACACGGCAAAGCGGCTGGCGTAGAAGCCAGTGGCACTTGCAAGATCCTGGGTCACACCACGCTTGCATAGCTAGACAATTCCAGCGCTGGTGGAGGGTCAACCGGTCAACCCTGACCCTGAAGAGAGAGTGGTACTGTGAAGCTCGAGGCGTCCAGGGCAAAATAGACCCGCTGCAGGTTGCCGGAACAGTCTTTCAGCAGACATCCGTGTTCCCCCTCATCCGAAGCACCTTTCTCATCTGCAAGCAGCCAGGGGCAGTGCCTCGGAACTGTCTGTAAGGGATCTCGGAGCGCAAGGGCCACAAGCGCGAGTCCTCTTCTCTTGCCGAACCGAGCAACTCGCCAAGGCAGTCCATGTACATTCCCACTCTGCCGGTCGCTTCTGCCAGCATGCGGGTCTTTCGGAGGCAGCCTGCAGCTCCTGCCACACCGACAGCCACCTGAAATCAGCAGCCGACAGGCTGTCCCAAGTCCTCCAGCAGCCATGCTCATCATTTCGGTGAAAGCTTTCATACCCTCCGGGGTTGAGAACTCCGCCAACACGTCCTGTCCAAAGCGGACTGGAAAATTACTATTGACGCTAAATAATTTGGTGACCGCCAGCTACAAAGCCGATATCCTCCTCAGGCCGCCCTTCTTTCTGACTTGTCAGCTGCACCACGTGCATCAGAGCCTGCAATTCACAAGCCTGTACAGCAAGATGGAGCTTGGGAGCTGTCCCACCTGCATGACTTGGGGATGCATGTCGTCTCCAGGCAGTGGTTCGGTCATGGCGGAGGATATGCCACAAGCACCCGCTTGAGGCGACCTTTACGTGAAGTCCTTGCTGCAGATGTCAAGACGCATTTTGTGCAAAGCGGCGCCGCAAGGCGAGCTGACTGAAGCTGTGACCCTGGTTATTTCTACCTTGCGTAGCTGAAGCTGGCTATTCTGTGGAGCTTTGCAGCGTCGCGGCACTGTGCTTCACGCTGGCGGTCGCGGCAGCTTTTGTTCACAGTGTACACATGGATTCCATCAGGAGTGATGCAGTGCCGAGTATGGCTGGGACAGAGAGCTCCATTGTTTGCGGCTTGGAGCTCTTCTGCGTCACCACAGTCTGCAGAGCCTGCGGCAGATGACAGGCATACCCTTTCCAGACTCGAACCTCGAACCGTGGCCAACCCAACCTTTTGCATCTCTGCAAACATCTTCTGGTGTTGCTCCTCATGTCAAGGACACTTTTCCCACGCTGGACGGACATGTTGACTTGCAGTAAGTGTTAACAGCCAAACTATCTCGAGTCTGTGCACCGTGCTTCTGTGACACGACTGTCCTGTGTAGTCTGCAAGGTCTTGGCGCACATCTCGACATTGTTTTTGGCCTCTTCACCTCGATGCAAAGCAAGCTGCCGACACGTCCATGTACACAACCTTGATTAGGGAGCTTGCTCTGTTTTCTCAGCAAGGCAAGGAGCTCTTCCAGAGATGCCTCTCCAGGCGGAGAGGCTGAGGCGTCGTCTGAACCCCACCTAGTCTAATCTAAGGCCTCGAGTCGGACAGTGACATGAGGCACAGTTGGACAGCATGGCCTTTCCGTCAGCTTGAGGGGTGGGATCAGACTTGCCGGACTCCAGCGGCTCTGCCTGGTTGCCAGGGCTCGCAAGTCGTGACAACCCCTCTGCATCTCTGCAAGGCTCGAACGCTTTTGGGCGCCGGAAGGCTCCCGTCCTTTCAGGTCGTTGGACCAGGATTCCGTCATTGACTCGTTCGACTCTGACTGGCTCTTTTCAGGTGGGTCGCCGAGAGCCATGAAGCCGCCTCCGAGAAATTGAAGTCCTCCGGCCTTGGAGAGGCCCAGGAGCCCTCATGATCCTCGTGCCGTTTCTCTCCCCAAGGTCTGGGCTTGAAGGGGTTCACCAAAAAGGTCCCGACCAAGCCTTTCAAGAAGGCAGAGTGTGCTAGATGCAGTCTGCTGTAAAGGACGTACCTGCACCAAGACCCCCGAGAAGCCAAGCCTCACTGTCCAAACGCTCCGGACAACGTGGTAAAACTGCGTTTGGACGCCGAGTGCCCAGCCCACCAAGGCCCGCCAGACGGAGGTTCTGGTGGGTATCCCTGGAAGCATTCCGAGTCAGGCTGAGGGCTGAATGGACCAATCTCGATCCATTGGAAGCATTAGTATGCTGCGACAGTACGAATGTCTTTCAATGCGTTGAGAGATGCAGAGCGGCACTTACCAGCTCGGAGCTATGTTTGTTCGCACCATGGCTAACCTTGCGTGAGATACTTCCCAACGCTGAAGCATGGGAATTGGGATGGAGGCAACAGTGCATCATTCAGGAAATTCTTTGAGCAGCCGTGTCATCCCAGACAAGGTTTTCTATCGGATTTTTCTCGTTTACAGTTACAGTTGGATTCACGGGTGCAGCCTGGTACAGCATGGGCGGCATGGCGAAAGGTGGCACCGGTGGTGCCTGGCATGACTTTGACTGCACATCTTGGTTCAAGTCTCCAGTCTTCTTAGGTCGCGGAGGCACCTGATAAGGGCTACCGCTGGGGTACGGTGGTGGCATCGCCTCAACACTATGCTGCAGCCACAGACACAAGCTACACTACTGGGCTGGTGCCTGATAGCCCGGGCTGGGACTTGGGTAGGTCGGCGCCTGGGTGATCGAAGCGGCTGCAAGAGAAATGCAAGCTTCTGCTCTGGGAAGTTTTGTTCGACTACTGGCAAAACGAGACTGGGCTGTGAGCAGGCAGTTGCGGTCGCCGCGGGGGCAGCGGTGAGCTAGGCGGAGCGGGGCCGGTGGGAGCTTGCGGCCCACTCGGCTGCGGGCCACCGGGCGGCTGGGGGCCATGGCCCTTGCACACCGGGAAGTTTCTGTCAGCCGAGTGCCAGTGCAGCTCTCAAGGGGCCGCCTGGCCGGGACCAGATTGGCGACCACCCGGACCTCTGAAGGCAAACCCCGGCAGGCAAAAACTCTCGGCACTTTCTGCCTCCACTTCCACGCTGCTCGAGGCGCCGATATGCCTGTGGCACTAGCTCATCAGAATGCCGGGCCCAGAAGCCCAGAAGATGCTCCATCGAAGAGGACCTCCTGGATGTCATCCGGAGACAGGCCCTTGTCAGCCTCGCACGCAAAGCACCGTGTAGAGCACGGCGCAAAGACGCATACTGCATAGATGTGACGGCATGAAGAGGGGCCAAGTAAGCAGCCAGAAACTTGTCCTTCTCTGCCGCCGGCCTCGCCTTTGCGCTTCGGTTTCAGCTTGCTGTGTCCAATCCGCTTAAACCGATCAGCAAAGTGGCAGCAGTTTGGCTCAGGAAGGAAACGGCCATCTCGATCAATTCCTCATAAGACAATACCGGTTGCTGCGGCAGCTTGTGATAGCTTCTGCTTCTGAGCAAAGCGAAGCCATGCGAAGCCCAAACTGGGGGCATCGACTTCTCGGCTGCCTCCCTCGGCCTGCGCAGGGCCGTTGAAACTTAAACGTCGAACGTGTCCGAGATTGATATGTGCCAAACCAGAGAAGCACTTGTGTTGCGCCAGAGCAACTGGTGCTAGCTTGTGAGTAAGGTGAAACTTCTTGCTCCTATGTGGCATGGGAGGCTGACTAAGACTAAGATTTATCTCTCGTGGTTCAGCTCCGCCGCGGCCGTGAGCAGTTCCTGCATCAGGCTCGCCAGATCTTCCTGGAAGTGGCCAAATGCAGGAGGCACAGGCGGTGGAATCGAGAGTAAGTTTGTCCTCACAGTAACCCGCAAGGATACGTACTTGAGTCACTTGAGATGCTTGTAGTAAGCACAGGTGCACTTGCAGGAAAGCTTCGCTGCACTTGACGAAGTCTGCATCGTTCTGCAGCTCCATCTCGTTCGTCAGTATGGCCTCTGCAAGCTTCGATGTATTGAAAGCCCACCTTCGCAGCATCCCAGGCCTCCTCCACGTCTTCTGGCTGCAGCTGCAGCCTCGCAAAATCTCGCAAGACGCGGCCGGTGCTATGGATTGGTGCCAGCGCCTTGCCTGGAAACGCCGAGGTACGTCTGCAGCTCGGCGGTGGCTTCGATTAACTCGGGGCGCGTCAGCACAGCACTGCTCCAGATGAGCAAACTACGTGACGACGCCTTGCAATCCACGCGATCGAGTTCTTGTGCAGACAAGTTCTTGAACTGCGACAAGAGTGTTTCCAACTCCTGCACCATGACCTGGCATCAAATCCTTGCATGTGACAAGAGAGGCACAGGAAGGCGCGCTGCTGCGCCTTGTGAGCCTCCAGGATCCTTGCAATTCGTGGTAGGTCAGCGAACTCAAATTTCCCGACCAAGCTCTTTCCAAGCAGCTGCGGGATTGTAATTTGTCGAGCCCTGGCTGGATCGCCTCTTCCTGTCTGTTTACGCAAGGGCACATTTTCATCCAGCATCTTGCGAGCTCTCCCTCTCCCTCTCTCTTTGCCTGGAGGATGCAGCATGCTCTGGGCGCTTTCCATGACCTCGTCATCATCCTCTGGTGAAGGCCCGGCCGGGCCCGGCCAGTCTCGGAACCGCTCTGCAATGCTCTGCTGTGAGACTTCGCTCCTCGAAGTGCCCAAGCAATTCCTGAAAGGCCTCCGCCGTCAGATCGAAGTCCTGCACAGAGCAACTGATGCGCCAATGGCTCTCTGGAGACAGCTGCAAAGCTGCAGGTCCAAGATTGGATCTGCTGGCAAGCCATGTTGCCGAACGAGCCTTGGGGCACCAAGGCGAGACCGAGAGAATGGGGGCTGCTGGGGCCCCTTTTTTTTAAAGCATCTTTGGGCAACTATCTCGTTTGTGCTCAGCCCGGGCAACTCGTGCGCCGCCAGGAAAGGCAAGTGCTGCTCCATCTGCCTCTCCCTGCGCGCCAGCCAGGCTGTTTTCTGATGGCTTCCACAACGAGACTTTGTCCACAGGGCCTCATGGCGAGTAGCAGCCTCTGGCCGAGCTCACTTATCGCCTCAAAAGGGGGAAGAGCTGCCGCGGAGCTTCAACTCTTTTATGCAGAGGATTCAAACAGAGGGAGGGTGAGAAGTGAGAAGAGATGGAGGCCGGGAACATGCGAGCACAGACGCGGAAGCGAGACACAAACCCAAAAGAAGTCAATTTTAAGCTTCTAATCGCAGTGACCATGGGATCTTTGGCTCGGCGACTGCATCAGAACGCCCAAAGTGCTGCCAGCCTCCTGCACGGCCGTATGAGCACGATTCATCTCCGCCACAAGTGCCAGGACTTCAACCTAGCCACAGGGCGATTCGAGAATTGTGCGAGCAGGCATATGCAGGCATAAGATGCATATCACTGCATGGCCGGGACTCTGCTGAAGTGTTGATGATCACCGGTCGCCTGATGCCGACAGTTGCAGGGAGCTCGTGTTTGCTCCTTAAGGCGAGCACTCGCAGAATCAGGAGTCGAATCAAGCTTCAGGTCAGCTTGCCTTGGCCAATTCCTTGTGTGCTTGTAGCCACTCTTTCTTGGCATCAGCGAGAGTTGCATCGTATCTGCAGGCCTCCCAGTGTGCAGCGACCATAGGTGTCAACTGGGCTACTAAAGGGAACATTCCCATTTGAGCCCCGGGCTGTGGCAAAGTCGTCCACTGCCTCGGCCAGACGGCCCTCGGCACGGAAGCAGCCAGCTCGAGTGAAGAGCGCCTGGAAGGTCCGAGGTCGCATTTTAGACAAAATGCGCTGAGCGCTGGTAACACAGCTCATATCAGCATATGCTTCATCGACATGACTAACCAGTCAAACAAACACAACTGAACTTGGTGCATGCTACATCGGCCGAGCCTTCACACACTTGGGATCCATCTGCAAAGCTGCTGTCGCCGACTGCAAAGCCTCCTGATATCCTGGAAGTGGCGAAGCTCAGATCGATTGAGTTGTAGCTGCTCTGTACGGCTTTGTTGATCCGATGGATGCCACCTAGCTACCAGGACGCAGTCTATTCTTATCTGTTAGTCTATCGTTGCGTGTCTGTTCAAGCTTCAAAGGAAATGGATTTTTTCAAAGCTGAGGCAGCTGAGGCAGAAACGGCCACGCTTTTTCTGGCACACTGCCAGGTTCCTTGGCAGCTGCATGGTCACTCATGTCCGACAAAAATCAACTCCCCGCACTCAGAGCCTCTTAGCATCAATACGCTGCTTTCAATGCCAGGGATCGTCAGCACGCGAAGGCGCTCGCCGCGAAGCGCGGGCTGCGACTGTACAGAGAAATGGATCGTCTTTCACACGCAGTTTTGATGCGTGTGCGAGATGCTTCGACCCCGGGACTGCCGGGAAAGGCTATTCCAGTGCAGCGCGCGGCAAAGGCTTTTCGTGCCTGTTTTCTCTCCGGCCTGGTGTGAGATACTCTTATGCGCCTTTCGACTAGGTGACTAGGTCCTCACCTGTCATCGAAACTGTCACGGCAAGGTAACAATTCATGTTATGTTGAGTTGCGAGAGTTTGCTACGACTTGGTTCAAGGAAGCCTCGAGAAACGCTACCATGCCGAGGGACTGTAACTATATCGTGTGCTAGCAGGAGCACAATGAATCACCTCCCTTCGGAAGGGCTAGGGAAAAGCTTCTTTCTCATGCTGCTGCTTCTTGGAAGTGCCAGCATTGGAGATCACGCAAATCAGATAAGCGTTCGCGTCTGCCGGTTTACAGGACTTATCCTTCTATCCCCGTTCAGATGTTACGGCTTTGGTTAGAGTCCTAGACAAAATGCCTGCCCTTGGCAGAAGCAAGCACTGTTCGGCAGTGGATAAAGATCAAACTGCCAACTAGAAACTAGTTTCCACTGATTGGCAATGGAGTTTAGAGGCGTTTACCGTCCCTTCGCAAATCTCGGCTTGGACGCGGAGTACTTCATTCCAAGGACACTGGCCTCAATCTGGAAGGCACGTCGTTGCTCGGTGTGGTAGTGGGATACGGCCATGCTTGGCGCCGATTTGGTCCGCAGGAGCCTCTGCGCCGGGGTGAAACTTCTGGATTCCAATCCACTAACTGCTTCAATCGACCTCACGTTTACAGAAAATGATTTCAGCAGACTCCAGCTACAAGACTGCCGGCTCCCTCAGGCTTGCACAAGACATTGGATTTTCAACTTCTTTTAAATTAACACTCGGTGAGGGGATGAGAATCCTAGGAACAGTTGGCCACGTGTCCCACGGGCCGTTCCGTTGTTGCTCTCTGATTCCACTTATTGTCGGAGCAACCAAAACATGAGTCTGATTCCGGGTGTTTGCTCCTCAGCCACCAAACAAGTCCACGAGATGACTCCGGCGAGCTTGGTTTCACCTTTCCTTTATTTACGCCCTGGGCGAGCTTAGTTTCGGCTGAAGAACGGTGCTGTTGGCTAAAAAAGGGCAGGTGGACGGCGGTTGATTGCAGCACAGACAGGTGTTTCTTCTTGGCCCAGATACGGCTTGCTTCCTGGTCGGGATCTGCAGCTGCCGTCGGAGTGGTGAAGACCGTCGGGTGGTCTTGCCCTTTCCATCAGAAGCTTGCCGTCTCTCATCGGCGACAAGAAGTATGGGCGACCTCCCATGTCGCGAACCTCCGCTTAAGGGCGCTTTCGATGCGGTTGAAGGTCTTTCCGGACTGTTAAGTTAAGGACAAAATTCCTCAGCCAAGACGAGAGGCCTCCTGCTCTGGGACTAAGTGATACATATAACCTAATGTCTAGCTGTGTAGCTTAGACTACGCTCGGCAAGCTGGAGGCAAGCCGCCAGCGCTGGGTCCGAGCAGGACTCTGTTACATTTCGTTGCTTGGGATGCTTCAGTGGCTGAAGGCAGAAGTCACTAGTGGCTCACTACAGTATACCAGCAATATTGAGGTCGCAGGCTGCAGGCGATTTCTTGGCGAGGCGCCCACGAGCTTGCAGACTTCAGGTTGCCTGCCTTTGCCAGCGCCACTTTCTGCTGATTCCAGCGCCAGAGCCACATCTGCTCTTTCTCTGCCAGCTCAGAGTCCGCTGGACTGATCATGGCTCTGCGCCAAGTATTAGTTGGGGAATGTGGTTCCTTATCATGACTTGTTGTAGCCTGGCCGAGCCCGTGTAGCGACCAGCTAGAGAAGTTTGACAACGCAAGTGAAACTCATGGATCTGGAGTCGACGGCAAGGCAAACTAGGTACTGTACGGGAATACGGGAGCAGTGGTGTCTCTGATGGTCAGCTTGTCTTTTGCTCGTCGGGAACTGCGGGGATACATGTGCTGGAAGGCCAGGCCGAGTTCTCATACCAGGGGCGAGCCCTTCAGGCAGAAATAAGGCCGCCTACAGCTGCTGTGCGGACCTTCAGGTTGCTGAGCAGCTTCTCGTAGCAGGACTCCGCCTCTTGCAGTTTGCCTGCCTGCACAGCTTTAACACACTCCTTTGCAATCAGTGAGGGAGCAAAGCTTCTGTTCTGGGCCGTTGTTGGCCACTCTATGGCAGAACCAAGTCGGCTAAGAATCTAGGAATGGTGACACATCACCGAAACGAAACTTGATGCCCATACCTTTCGCAGCAAGGAAAACCAACAGCATCTGTGACAACCTGCCCAATCAACGGGCTTGCTTGCATCACTTACCATCAGACGAGGTCTGCAGATGTGACCCGATCAACCTGAGCAGCACCCGCTGCACTCCCTCGTATTGTACTCAATGGGCCAACCAAAAAGACTTCATTGGAGCACCCCCGATTTCGATTGCACGAGTGTGAAGAACAGCCGGCATATCCCTTGAATGAAACACGTGACATCACTGTCACTCGCATGATATGTACACAGAGGGTGCGCACCACCATACTGTGTTCCTACAGAACTCAAAACGGAAGACCCAGGACTTGCGTTCAGCGATGAAGTTCGCCGGTGCACGGAGGGCTTGGAACTGGAAAGAGTCGACTTGCATCGGGTTGGGGAATTACCCCAGATGCGTGGCCCATGACTCGGGATTTTGGGAGCTCGGAATGCCTGGAACAAGGCTTTCGCATCGTCGCATTCGCGCGTGACATCGTCCAGGGTGCTCTTCAGAGCCTTTCAACGAGTTCAAGAGCAGGAGTTCAGTCGAAACGGCAGCATCGTCCTGGTTGGCACCAGGTCTCAACGAAGACAGCCCAGCAGCCAGTTGATGAAAGCCTCAATCACGAGGAAAGATGCAGCGCGGATCTATGCTCTGCCCGCAGATTCCGCTCTTGTTGTCTTTTTTCTCTCTGTGTGTGCTCGAAACTCTGTGTTCTTTCTTGCAGCACATGCCCACACATCGATTGCAAATCAAGTTGCTGTCGACCAGCCTGACATGGCGTGCAATGCTGCTTCTATTGATGCACAACGTGCACAAGGCTATGTGCCGTAAGCGTTGTGATGCTCTTCAGCCGGATAGCATCTGCCGGCAGCTTTGCCAATCAGTGGCTTTCAGCAACCTTGGGCTTCGCAGATGTCAATTTAGCACATCTTCAATCTCTATGTGGCCCTGACATGCACATACCTACATGCACCAACAAATTCGGATGTCCAGGCCGCTGCACTCGGCGTCGCAGCCACCGCCATGCCAAGCCAGCCTGCAAACAAGAGCCCCTTGCTGCTTTCGTTTGATGCTGCGCTCATCTGGCGCTGGAGTCTCCTTCTGCATGAGCTGAGCCGCATCTCGGGCCTGCCGACAGAACTCGCATACCGTGACATAGCCCACTGTGACGATGCAAGCTGCAAGTGGAAAGCTTCGGACTTGGATGCAGCATGGTGCAGAGCAAGGTCCTTTTAAAATGCCAGGAGAGCGCCAAAATCCAGTGCTACCGGTAGCGAACTAATCGAATCGGGCGTGGTCCCTGGGAGGTTCCGCTGGCTCAAGCTTGAGGCTCGGATGCGGGTTTCTGCCAAATGTCGACTTGGATCTGGACGCCCTCGAAAAGAGAGCCGTTGAGACTTGCCACTGCCTTCTGCACATCCTCAGGCGTCTTGTATGCTGCGCCGGCGATACCGTTCTTGTTAATTTCGGCGAAGACGCACTCGAGCCCGCCCTGGGACATGTGCTCCTTGAGCTTCTTGTTCTTCTCGATATCTGTCTGGCCAGCTTCAAACCCCCCGATCCAAACCTTCTTCTCGTTCGAGAAGCCGCGAAGTCCCTTGCCTTTGCCCTTGCCATAACCCATCATCATCATGGGCGGGAAGCCCCAGCCATACCCGCCCTTGCCGTAGCCACCCCAACCCATCGCAAGGAGTGCTTTCAATAATTGTGGGACTCCAGACTGGAATAGCGCTTGGGCTTGGCAATGGCTGCGGGAGAACAGCTGCTGCACGCCCCGCACAACGTAACATCACAACAAGAGCACTAGCTGCGCCTGCGAATCGTAGGAAGCCCAAAAGCTTTCCCGGCCTGATTTCGCCTGAACAAGACGCAGCAAGACTTGGGACAAGCTGTGGAACACCGGGACATGCTGGGGCTCGGCTAGGCTGCTGCATTTTTTAGCATGACCTGCAACCCTTCAAGCCCAGCGCCACAACAAATACTTTGCGTTCTGGAAGGATCTTGTCTACCTTTCTTTCTCGCGTTCTGTTCACGACATGGCGGAGTCACAGTCTCCGCAACGACTTTCGGACTTTCAGAAACAAAGCCAGCGACATGAAAGGGGTGCATCTCCATGCATGCGTATGCCTGCTCCGCGATGGACTGCTGAAATGCCGGCAGGAACCTGATCAGATGATGGCTAC